GTAAATCCGGAATTTCTATGGACTTATTTGCAGGGAGTTCACTGATCAATGTTTATTCCAAATCTTCTATACTCCGAGATGCGAGGCTAGTATTTGAAGAGATGAACAACAGAGATATTGTAGTTTGGCATGCAATGTTCTATGGATACAATCAGCAAATGGAAAATGAGGAGACCTTCAAATTGTTCTCACAATTACAGTTATCCGAACAACGACCCAACGAATTCACGTTCGCTTCCCTTATCACAGCAGCAAGCAATTTAGCAAGTCTCCAACATGGTCGACAGTTCCATAGCCAGATTATAAAGCGCGGTTTGGATTTTGACCCATTTGTCACGAATGCTCTTGTGGATATGTATGCTAAATGCGGAAGTATTCAGGAGGCCAGGAAAGCATTTGACCTCGTTATTTGTGAAGATGTGGCATGTTGGAACTCCATGATCACAACATATGCACAACATGGAGAAGCACAGGCTGCTCTCCAGATATTAGAGGAACTGATAATCGCAGGAGTGAAACCAAATTACATCACATATGTGGGCATCCTCTCTGCATGCAGCCATGCGGGGCTTGTGGAAGATGGATTGCTTCACTATAACTCGGTGTGTGGGCTTGGAATTGAACCGGGGACCGAACATTATGCTTGCATGGTCTCCCTTTATGGCCGAGCTGGTAGACTAAAGGATGCTGTGGATTTCATTGAGACAATGCCAATTCAACCGATGGCACTGGTATGGTGGAGCTTGCTCAATGCATGCAGGAATGCTGGTGACAGTGAATTAGGATAGTATGCTGCGGAGATGGCAACATCTTGGGACCCGACAGATAGTGGATCTTATACACTACTTTCAAATATATTTGCATCAAAAGGAATGTGGTTTGATGTAAAGAAGGTGAGGCAGAGAATGGACGAGACTAGGGTCCTAAAAGAACCAGGAAATAGTTGGATAGAAGCTAATAATGAGGTTCATGCGTTTGATGCTAGAGACCGGCTCATTATGAGGCTGATTGATTTTTTCAGTCTTGGACTGTTTAATTCCTCAGATAAAAGAGATCGGTTATGTGCCAGACAATGTTGCGGTTATCAGAGACGATTGACTGACAGTAATGGGATGATATTATACTGCAAATGCTCTATTGTGTGTACCCTTCCAGCTGTATGTTGCTGGGAAATGGTCAATCTTCTTGAAGTATGCACATCATCTGACTTGCGCTTTCCATAGGATATGTTGAGACATGAGAAGTGGCTGCTAGGATACAATTTGAATTGTCATCACTAAGTGGAGAACATTGACAGTTTTAGAGTTCAGTAGATGCAAATTAATCCTCGGCATTGAAGTTGCAAAGATGTGTCCAAACATCTATAAAGAGGCTTGAGTCATGAGGAATTGGCGCAATTCTATGACTTCTAATGGCACGGTTGACTCGTGAGGATTGGATGAACTAATGAGCTATGCTCTATTTGTAGTTTAGATGGGTCAATTTAGTTGAAGAAGAGGGCAAATGACCTGTTCTTGAGGGATAGAGAGATTAACCCACTGCCAGTAGCCACAAGATGACCAACCAGAAATTCCACTTGGTGGAGACTCACTCTGTTAATGCAGTAGGTCAACATGATGAGTTTCAGGTTGACCAACCATGAAGAATGAAAAACTTGAGAGTTACGCACCTTTGGTTTCGCGGAAAATAACTTCGTGAAAAAATGTTTTTCAAATTTTTCGACGTTCGTTTCACGTAAAATAAACAGTCATGAAAAATATTTTCCCTCATTGGAGAAAACACCTTCAAAAGTGGGGAAAATGATTTCCTCTCTTTTCCCTCACCCTTCTTTCACCTTTTTATTTTTTAATTATTTCTTATTTTTATTTTTATTAAAATTCCAATTTTTAATTATTTTATTTTTATTCTTTTATTCTTTTCCTTTCTCTATTTCCTTTTTCTTTTTTCTTCTTCTTCGGCCAGTCGCTGGCCACGGCGAAGGCCGGCGATCGGCCACAGGCGAGCTCGAGCCTCGCCACAAGTCGGCAAGGCTGGAGCTAGCTAGATCGGCGATGCTTGAGCGTCGCCAGTGGGTGACGAGGTTCAAACCTCGCAGATCGGCGATGCTTGAGCGTCTCCAGAGGGTGGCGAGGCCTCGTGCCTCACAAATCGGGGATGCTTGAGCATCGCTAGAGGGCAACGCCAGAGGTCTCGAGCCTCGCCGGATCTGGCGAGGCCTCGCTCAAGGCCGGCGAGGCGAGGCCAAGCCTCACCCAAGGCCGGTCGCCGGCCATCGCCATGGTCGGCGACCGACAGAGAAAGAAAAAAATGACAAAAAAAGAAGAGTAAAAAAAAGAAATATAAAAATTATTTAAAAATTCAGAATTAAAATATAATTTAAAAGTAAAAAATAATTGAAATTTTGGTTTTTTTTAAAATTAAAAATTAAAATTTATTAAAATGAGTGCAAGGAGGAAAATCAAATCGGCTTTTTCATATCGAATGACGGAAAATATTTTTCGGTTCATTTTCACGTTTCAGCCGAACATGGGAAAATATTGTCATTTTCCTAAAAAATAACTTTCTGGAAAATACTTTCCAGAAATGTCACATTTTCAGCGAAACGAATGGAGCCTTAGTTTCTTGTGAAAATTATGTCATCTTGATCAAATCCACCTTTTACCATTTATGTCTGACTACGATAAAATCAGTTGAAGAGCGACACATGGTTTTTCAACTAGTGACAAGTAAGGAAGAAATCAGAATTCCCAAGTAATTTTTCATATCTGATAGCGCCAGCTCCTCTGTCAACGACTTTGATAGATCAGTGCCCACAATGGCCGCCCAGAGAGAATAGCATTTACATTTAGGTCTTACTACTTCTCTGTACCAGTCTAAGTTACCTCAACTAGTCACTACATTTATCTTTTCTCTCCCTTCATTTTCCATGTAAAGATGAAGACTTTCATGCTACTAAAATATCCTAGACAAGCAAGACAATGGAGAGGATGGATCAATGTGCTGCAACTGATCCGAAGACAGTTCACGATCTTTCTAGTTCTTTTCTAATTAGAATCTTCTTTGAGAGTTGCTTCTTTATCTTCTTGCATTTTCCCTTTTGATATCTTCGTCTTCGGCAACTTTGAGACCTTGCAAGAACTTGATATGATTTCCCTTCATGATATCTGCTATATTTCGTAACGTTGACATGAACATAACCAAACAGTTGGCTGCCATGTAACTTTGCTCTCAAGCCTCAAGTCAGCTTGTTTAACTTTCTTCATGTATTGCTGGAATATATCATTCATTCAAAAGTTATGCTTTCTCTTTGCTAATCAGCTAGTTGAGCTTGCTTCGTTCATTCATGATCTTTCTAACATATGCAAATTGATTAAGCTGTTTTCTTTTTACTCTCTCTCTCTCTCTCTCTCTCTCTCTCTGTGATCCAAGCTTTGCTGTGACGGATCCTGTGAACAGAATCACTTGCCTTCAACACTTAGCAAGTTTTATCCTTATTTGCAGAAGTTTCGAGTCCAATAAAAGTCTAGGATCGGAATAAAATGAAGCTAATAGTGTAAAATATGGACTTTGACTCGGTCAAAGGAAAAAAGGAAAAATTTGACCGGTCAACAAAGAAGGAGGAAAATACGACCCCCCCCAAAAAAAGGAGGACAAAAAGTGGACGTTCAGCTATTAAAATGGGGAAAGCATGCATGTCCACAGAAAGGTAAAGAAATGGGAAAGAAAGAAAAGAAAGGGGAAAGAAGAGGAAAAAGGGAAAGGATAAACAAGAAAAGGAAGTCGCGTTTACACACCACGGGAACCTTATCAAGCCGAAATAACACTATTCGGCAACACCCTAGTAATTTTTGGAATTATGGCACAAATTTGAAATTGTGTGAAATTGGTATTGCGGGTCCGATTTTAACAGTTTTTAAATTGAGAAATTATGGGGAATTGATAGTTGAGAATGTTGTGGAGTTATAGGATTTTACTTGATTTGAACTTACGATTTGCCCGAAACGAATTTTTGAAGTTGGGCTAGCGTGTTGAACATTAACGACCAGCAGCTTTCGGTGTCGAATTTTGTCGGTTGCTGGCTAGATTTTGGGTCGGCCAAGTTATGAGTCTTTTAGTACATTTATTTTTTTGGTAGATATTTTAGTACATCGAAAGGGCTTTCTTTTAACAGTAAGCACTCTTGAATTGGAGTTCAATAAAAAGAGTTATGACGTGAGAAATTTTGTCGCGCTAGTGTTCGTCTGTCGTGCGACTGACTGTTCTTCGCATAAGTGGTTTTTTCGCCGCGGTTGGCCATTCTTGAGGTCTTTTGTCGACCCATAGTGAGCGTTTTGGCTATGAAATAGCGTAGTTTAGTCGAGTCTTTAGTTAAAGTAATGTTTTACTTAGTTTTCACATCGATTCTCATTTAATAACAAGTTGTTGTCTGTTTGAGGCTGCGTCCTTCAGGTGGAAGGATATCCGTGTCATTTTCCATTCTTATTGGTTTCAGGGTGTGACAAATAGTGTCAAAACCACATGATCCACGACTTTAATAAGGACCATTTGAGAATACTATTCATAGTGGGAGTGCGATTTTGGACGATCCGCGCTTATGAGCTGAGGCTTACCGAGGTTTGGTGCCTCCATGGCTGTTTTCAACCCACCACATTGCACGCTCTCCATGTGAACAAGAATCGAAAAGGTATGTGGACTTCGAAACTAACAAATCCCCTTCCCTTGATTAGACTGCTCAAGTTTTTTCTAAAAGGGCGAAAGAATAATTCGCTCTGTGCTCACTGCCTCGCTGCGTGTTTACCCAATGTTGAAAATCCAAAGATGGAAGACTTCGAAGTCTCCTTCTCCAGCTTTTTCTTACCCTTCGGACACTCGATGTAGAAAAATCAAAGATGAAGACTTTCATGCGACTAATTAATTGAGTTTCATTTGCACGTCAGAGGTTATATATACCAACGGAGAGAGACGGGCAGAGAGACAGAGACAGAGACATACAGGGACAGATGACAGCAAAAATGCACTTCCCTTCATCAACATCAGCATCTTCTCTTATCGCCATTTTCTGCTTTCTCTTGGTTATAATCTCCCTGTTCCTTCCAGGGGTCAGTGGAGGTAACGATTTTTCTTTTTGGTGCTTTGAGCTTTCAGTATGTGAGGGGGGCATGGATTGACTATCATGATTCCATGAAAGTGTAGTTCACATGGCATGACACGAGAACATACATAGAGTTTCATACATCGTGGTGTTTTTTCTTAACGTTGCTCGGATATTTTACTACATGAATCGATTAATAATTTTGGGCAGTGTATAATCTTTCATAACGATTTTAATTGAATTTCTTCTTGCATGTAGATGTGAAGCCTACCGCTCATGGGCATGAGTTCTTTTACTCCATATTTCAATCCTTTCCATCACTTAGTATTTGATCTTTCATAACGATTTTCATTATATATGTTCTTGCCTATAGCTGTGCAGGGAAAAAATCCTGTTCTTGACAAACAACAGAGTGAATTCTCTTTTTACTCCATATTTCAAACCTTTTCATCACGTTATCAGCATCTAGTACAGTTTATATATGCGTGAATCATTCATTATAGATCGTATTACGCTCGCGCGAAAGCACTTCAACCTTAATTCATCGGATATTCTCTAGTCATATAATCATGTAACATGTTGGGTTTCACTTGTGCATCAAATGATTAATGATACTCCATGAATTTTCATCTTTACAAATGTAGTACATATAATATGCCTAATTTACAGCAAGAATTAGTGATAAGATCTCAGTACCAACACTATTCGCGTACTTATTTGCATAGCATGGTCACCACTTGGTCAATAAGGTTTCTGCATGAAACATTTTAATAATTTTGGGCGGTATCTGATCTTTCATAATGATTTTCATTGAATTTCTTTTTTTGCCTGCAGTGGTGCGTCATCCCGATTGTGAGTCCTCTTTTTACTCCATATCTCGACCCTTTTTGTCACCTAGTATATGATATTTCATAACAATTTTCATTGAATATCGTCTTGCACATGCAGTTGGCAGAGTGGAGGGAAGCTTTCCTTTCCGTGACAGACGATGGAGTGAGTCCTCTTTTTACTCCATATCTCAAATCTTTCCATCACATTGTATCCCTCTAGAACGGTTTATACATGTGCAAGTCATTTATCATACACCGTATTACGCTTGCTCGAAAGCAATTCAACCTTAATTCATCGGATATTCTCTAGACACATAATTATGCAACGTGTCAGATTTCGCTTGTGCGTCAAACGATTACTGATACTCTACGAAATTTCAACTTTGCAAACGTAGTACGTGCATATGACTAATTTCTTATTTATAGCAAGAATTAGTAATAAGTACACTTAGTACAGAGCACCGACACTACTTGCCTACTTATTTGCGTAGCATGGTCACAACTCAGTCAATAAGGTTTCTACAGTTAAATATGTGGGGGAAAATCATGGTAACTTCATCAGTATTTGCAAGTGAGACTTATTCCGTCTTTTCCCTCTATTTTAAACATGGTCGCAGATTCTGTAACGGCAAAGCCTTGACCAGACAACATGTTGGTTGTTCTAGATGCCACCGAGCAAAGAACTTCCTGTCACTCATGATATATATGTAATATGTCCTAATGCTTGGTATGTTCTTGGTATAGCAGAATTATTTTCAGTTCCCTGTATTCCGTACATCTACTTCCAGACATTCTCGTATGCAGACTTGTCTTGATTCGAGCGAAAATAAAAAGAGATGAGTTTCCCAGTTTACTCTTGGATAATGTTCTTCCGAGCAGACATCTCATCACCATCTTGCGGCTCGGGAAGTGGGGTCATGCTTGCTAGTCGTAGGAAAGGCAGTTTCATCAGTCCACCTGAGGAGCCTCCAACCTGGACAGTTATTCGTTGGTATAATTATTCAGAGAGTTCTAAATTTATTGTAAGACGGCCAATTTAAATTTTTTCATTTGCTGATTTAATCTTATCTTTTGACAATTTGTCAATGTAGTCTTTTCGGCCAATTTTGGCCATAAATCATTGACGTGATTGTCAAGTCAAGTCAAGCGTCGCTGTCTTTCGTGGCACGACCGACGCTGACATGAACGATTTATGCAAAAAAATTATTATTTTTCCCTTTTTCTTTCCTTTCCCTTCGTCAGATTATCGACAGGAAAAAGAACACATTTTCCCAAAACTCATCCACGCTAGCACCGGTTGTGCAACGTACGATGTCGGCATGGATTGGACCGCCACATCAAGAATTCTAGAAATTGAGCACTGCCCGAGTCGATTCTAAGAATTCAGGGCTACTTTAATCAACTTTTGTTTGTTGAGCTTCGGTAAACACCTACCTATTTTATCCTTTAAAAGCAAATGTACAAAATATATATGAGGTAGGAGAAATTTTTACGAGCAAATGTACATAATATATAAATGCATTAGTCAAGATGCACAATGTAAAGAAGAAGATCCCTGTCAAGCAATATAAGGTGTCGACAAAGAAAGGATTTCTCACTCTGAACTTATCCACCTATCGGCTCATCCTATTGCCCTCATCATTAGCATGTATTTCTATTGAGTCACAGGGAGGGATGAACCTAAATCTGTGCTCTCTACTTGACTTACCAACCGGACAACATGATTTAAACCGACAGATAAGAGTAAAGAAACTCGCAGTTGGCATTTTTAGGCCAATGCAAAACCCGAAATACACATTTATTTCCTTAAGTTGCAAACTGTCCACAGCCAACGGACCCCTCAACCTGAAATGACACTCCAGGCATAGGGGCGGATTCGCCGGATGCTCGTTCTAATGCTGTACCTACTATATCTAATGGATAAACAAGGTCTCATACCACTCAGGCTTCATCTTCAAGAAGGCCTTCTGCGCTCTCTTTGCCTTTGCTACTTCCCCAAGCTCTCTCTTTCCATATCTTCTCCACCTCTTCAAAAGTCAACCCCTTCGTCTCTGGCACAAACATGACCACAAACACGATGGCCAACACGGCTACACACGCAAGAATCAAGAACGTCGCACCTGTCCCCAGAGCGTCAGCGATGCTAAGAAATGTCTGTGCCACAATCAAGTTCGAAATCCAATTGACGGTGGCCGACATGCCACCACACATTCCACGATATGCCTCAGGGTATATCTCCGAATTTACTGTCCATGGTACAGGTCCCATACCGGGTGAGAAGCAAGCGATGTAGAGGGCCAAACCGATGACCGCAAGCCACCCATATACCCCGTTTGTGGAATCAGAGGATTCTGCAAAGAATGCACCAGAAAGGATTGCCAAGGATGCTAATACACCGGATAAACTCGCAAGGGCCAGTTTTTTCCGACCAACATGGTCAATTAAGTAAATTCCAACGATGGTCCCCGCAGCATTCACAGCAGCGACAATCAGGGATAAGAGAAGTGCCAGCTGGTTGGAAGAGAAGCCAGCCATCTGGACTATAGTTGGGCTGTAATACATCACTGTATTGATACCGGTGAACTGCTGAAATGCCTGCATAAGAAGGAAAAACATCTTCAGCTTGACTAAAGTGCACAAGTCTAACAATTTTGATGGTCATATCAAATAAAGACTTAACAACATAACATAGATAAGCAAGTTCAGCACAGCCCACCATCTTGATTTGCTTCACAAGACTAAAGAGAGGGAATGATTGAAACAAAGATACAGTTGACGCCAGCCAGCTATCGAGATCAAATTGCATCTATTTATAGTTTAATCAACCAAAAAAGAGGCGAGACCTGATACAGCAGCTTTCCGCTGACTAATGGAAAAGGCATGCCATATTCCAACAGTTAAAAAGGAGCATTATCGTAAGCTAGAACTATAATCAAAGTCACTGACAGTGCATACGACCTGCAATGTATCAAAACAGCTATGTGCCCATCTCCAAAAATATGCTACTCTGCACTTATATTGGGAATAAAACTACCACCAAACGGAGTTTTTCTTCTGGTGTATCTAGCTAATTTAATTGGTCTGAGCAGTTCAACAACACGAGCCTAGAGCCCCTCATCTTTTCCCACTCTCCAAACCCTTCAGTTGATTTACTCAAGTAGCAGTTTGAGAGATGTAATGACATATTCTTTAGTTCAGAACCAACCATATCAGGTAAACCTAGAACAAATTTCAGCAATTACGCCTGTCACATAACACATTATCCCAGGGTAATTAATTAAGGAACTAGTGCATGACAGGGCTGGCAACAAAGTTATTCAACTCTGATCTAGGCATATGTACTTCCTCTTCTACCTAAGGTGAAAATATGACACTTTGGCAGAATGTAAAAGAATATTCATGCCATAGGACTGCATAGTTCAAGCTCTTCTTGGTTCAAAACTTGCCTCAGAGCTAAAAATATTTAGCTATTGCCCTGGCAAAAGAAAGTTCAATGTTAGCCAGATTAATCAGCTAAATATGTTTCAAAGGAACATCTTTTCCGCTCAGTGAGTCCTCCGCTGAATACGTGAAGCAGATCCGCAAAGAAAGCAAAGAAGCATATGTTACTGCCTCTTGTGAAGAAATTACTGAACATGCTTTTGAGTTGGTAATCATAGTTTTTTTCAATACACCAGTAATCCCTAAAGATACACATTAGGTACCAAAATATAAAAAGGCCGTCCTGTTGATGGCAAGTTTAGCAATGACAAAAGGTTCAATCAAATTAAGCATACATGCAAAAATATAAAGCAGCATTATTGAGCCTAACAAGTAACAATGACTAACAGCGGATATATCATTGTAGCCTGATGCTGAAACTAATTCATAATTCTGACCTGAAGCCCGGCACCAGCCAAAAATGCAAGTCTAATTTCCTTTGACTTAAAAACATCCCGGTATCTGACATTATTCTTTCTCCGGCGTTCTTCCTCTAAGGCAGCAGAAAGATTATCAATCTCATCCTCTAACCGATCAGGAGCATAAATCTTAGAAAGCACAGCAATAGCTGTAGTTTTATGATCCTGCATGATAATGTCAGGTTTTCAATTACTGTTACAGAAACCGAAAGGAAAAGCAATTGGATGACACAAAGTCTCCAAGAAGAACGATGCTTCTACCTTCATAAAAAGCCATCGAGGTGACTCCGGTAGAAAGAGCATTAAAGAGAACTGAATGACTGCTGGCACACCAGATATTCCCAGCATCCAACGCCATGTTCCTGGGACCTAAGCAAAGTACAAGTACATTCAAAATATTCATCAGATGATATGCGCCCAATGTACATCAAAGAAACAGAAGATGTAGAAGGTCTTATATGCACTATTTTCTTGTGAAGTCAATCCATTTTAAGTGATATTTCTGGATTCCTCTCATTGAATAACCAACAAACTAGCAGATTGTTGGACATCAACAACGAGATCCCTTGAAGTAAGAGCTAGTGATCAAGCTTACGATTTGAATGCTACTTCCATTTTCTGTGATACCAGTGCTAGCTGCCATTTTGGCACATCATTACTCTGGCATTATAGTATTCATGCAGATAGACTCCAGGCATTGTTCTATGGTATATGTAGAAAATGTATGCTACAGAACAAAAGCAGTTCCTCTGGATTAGCTGCAAAATAAGTGTCACTTTGAGCAACATCAAGTTATATTGAAATGAGTTAAACATCAAACTTTAAGGTTGCAAGTCTTTATGTTCAGAATATGCTTAACAACAAGCAAGTTATCAAAAACGTTCATGTCAAGAGAATTCTCAGGCAGAGGACCAACAATGTGTAACCTTTGTCAGAACAAAGGATATTTTCCATGAAGGCCCAGAAACCGCATGGCTGATACCAAAACTGGAACAGGACAAACTGCACAAAATAAGCTTGAGAAGTTCTCCAGTAAAGTACAAAAGAGGAAGTAAAGAGCACAAGCCACATTATGATTCCAGCAAAAAAGATGAAACGAAACATTCTTAATATTTCGTTCAGGGCATGATATGGCCACTCGTTATCCAACATTGGCAGAGGGTGCGGTCATTAGAGGGTAAGGTGAACACTGCTTATTTGCTTGCCTCCAATGTTAGCAGATATGTTAAAGTATCAAACTTCATAGTCTGTCTCTAATTAATTTCAATTACAAAAGAAGTGTAATTTCAATTTGACCCTCTTCTCAGGAAGAGGCCGAGAAATTGAGGTGAAAAACTTATAGCTGAAACCACAAATATAACAAGTCCACATGCAATAAGTTGAACATAACACAATCGACCAGTAGGATACCAATTCTTAATGCAGCAGCAGGGCAACAGCCAACCGTAATTCTAGCAGAAAAATCTAAAAAGAGAGCCCACTTATATCTTAGACCCGTCAAATGATACCTGTAAACTAGAGATATCACAATAATGGAGGGGGGCTGTGTCAAGCAATGACCACAAAGTATCAAGAAAAGACTTGATTGATCAGAACCAATACCACTGAAAAGTGCGGACAATTCCATTCTATCAAAAGGCATTGTACACCATCCAGATAGAGATAATGTACCAAAAATTTCCACAATTTCTTAAGAACACGTTTGGCTGTTTCCAAAAGCACTATTTTCCACAGAGGCCAATGCACCCACAAATGACACTGAGATTTGCCAGCTGAGTGACCAAAAATAATAATCCCAGATATCACCCTCAAGCTCTCAATAAATAAATTATGTTACAAAAGCTTCCATTATAGTCTCTATTACACTTCACTTGATATAATCATTCTAAGATATAATGGTTAATAAAAAATAAAAGAATTATAGACAACAGAAAATGAAAAATAAATGAATGAGCCCAAAAGATATCATTCCATGAGAATTCATTTTTCCTCAAAGAAAAGAGGAAACAACTTGATGGTCTATCTTCCTATTGCACAAGAGAAACTTTCATGCTAGAAACATCTAAAGGCTTAGGCATATCTCAGATATCCAAAGCAATGATAATTGCAAAAGCAAGGGAAGGTTTATTCTATATTTGCTAGGGAAAAAAATCGAAATTCATCTGTATATTTGCAAAGACTTCTTGAAAGGTACCCTACATCTGAACTGAATTCACAGACAACCAATGAGGGATGGTCATATTAAGGTTGGGCCTATAGGACAAGACCGACCAATTAACATACTCCAACACTTGCTGGTAAAGGAGCCATTACTCGTGTAGATAACTTCATTAACATTTTCCGACTAAGCCTAGGGAGTGATGGAACTGCTTACAGCCAGAAGAATGTTGCTAGTGCAAGAAATTCTCACGCAGTGAAAACCCATTATCATAACTTCCCACAACAGATAACTTCCCAGGGCTAACGACAAGCTGATTAATCGGAAAGAAGCTGTCTTCTGTGAGATTTTCACTGGTGAAAAAAATATAAAAACTACCGCATAATAAAAAATGTCGGTTTTTGATTGGGAGTGTTACTACCTTGGTCTAGGACCTAATATTTAGCTGTGAAATTTGTTTGGATTTGCTTAAAAAAAGAAAACCTTGTTTTTTTCTCTTTTTAATTTGAAAACAAAAGAGCATATCTTAGGTTTAAAATCATGAAAAAACAATATTCACATCTACATGCCAATTTTTATATGTTTTGAAAGGTTTCAAGCGTGGCATAAAATAAAAGCCAAATTGCATGGGCCATAAGATTTTAAGCACATAATACTTGAGGAAGTCTCACCAAACAGTGAGAAAAATTTATTTCCATGGTCCTTCAGCATTCTCTGTGATGATTAAGTGGGCAAGACATGACCATTTAACTATAATTTATGGCTTTCAAACAGGACAACCATCAATCCACAAATTACAGATAATTATGATTACAAATCGACAAATAGAAAAGCAACAAAAGCCTGACCTCTGTGAACGCAAGATTTATAAGGTATGAGAGAAACTGTCCGCCAGTTATCATAAGCACATTAGTGCTAACAAGGCCTCCCCTTATTTCCGACGGTGAAGCTTCTGCAATATATACAGGAGCAGTAACAGATGCAACACCAACACCAAGTCCAACTAGAAGCCGACCAACAATGAGGACATAAGGATCAGGTGCAGCGGCCATTACTACTGCTCCAACTGCAAAAACAACATCAGCTAAAAGGGTAGCGTTTTTACGTCCATAAGAATCATTAATCCAACCCCCTGAAGCAGCTCCAATCATTGCACCAACCAAGGCCATGCTGACAATAGTTTCCTGCCAAATTCAAGTCAATACAATATGTAATAATGACCACAACGACCATAAACTAGATTATGGAGAAATTTAGATAGTCAAAGAATTTTGGAGGTTAACATCCCTCCCACAAAAAGCTCATGCACCACATTTGTAAAGATACGGTCTAACCACCTCTACATAACTTTCCAGGTTCCATGAGCTAAAATGTAACTGTAATTCATACACTAAAACATTAGAAAAAGGAGGGGAAAGAACCTTAATCCAGATCTCCTTGATATCTGTTAAAGTCTCTCATATCACCTGTCTGTGGAATTTATGTGGGCCTCATATTATGTTGTTTCCCTACACCTATTGGTTTAAACTTTTGGGTAAGACATTCCAACATGGTATTGACTCAAGTTTCGCCCAAGATTTATTTCGCATGAGGCTCCCTGTTCATCAATTCCATGTGCCGTTTTCCGTCCAGTTTGTACATTAGAAAGGGTGTTAAAAGTATCCCACATCGCTTATCTACGGGGTTTATATGGGCATTATATTCATCTTGTCTCCCTCCACCTATTGGCTCAAGCTTTTGGTGGGACATTCTAGCAATAAAAATCGCTAATTATATGCTATTCCTCCCAAAAGAAACACTCCTCATGTTTTTCTCTATGCTTCCCACTCAGAGACATCAGGCAACAACACGATTTGCCCTATTTAGAGCTCTCTTTTCGTACCTGCAGAAAGCTACTCTCCTTGACAGCCTCAAAATCATCTTTAATATACAGGAGCGCCCCAGATATGACACCTGTAACAAGCAATTCATTATAGCCTAGCAGTAGCAGAAGAGTACTTAATTTATACTTCAAGAAAATATCAATACAATGTGCCCCTCTTTGGTATGAAGTACACTCAGAAGAAAAACCCAATTTTTGAAGAAGACAGCCTCATCACTCCTAAGGAATCTCAATTAATGACTCTCTTCCTCGATACAACAGTGCAGTGGGACATTAAATGGTAAATTCTGTAAGCATCCCCTTTTCAAACAATATATAGAGGGGAGCAGCATCCTACCATATCTTACAGTAAAACATCTCAAACCAACTAATAAGCTTGTACATCTAATCCTCCGATCAACAAATGGAAGGGCTGACTAAATCGCAAAGCTGTTAAGAACTATGAAAAAGAAACGTTTGAGGGAAAAAATGATTTTTTGAGAGGGGATTTACCCCCATAAACCTGGGGATAGCACAAAGAATATTATGGTGTTCTTGAATGCCGAAAATGTGCCAAAGAAGTTTTCAGATGGGTCATAGAAATAGAGAATAATGTGACTGAAGTTCAAGCAGAGCCAAAACCTTTCATAGATTGCCCATGTTCAAATTTATAAAATAAGGCAAAAAAATTAACCGGTAGAGTAAGGTTGAAAAAGAAATATACCGTTTAAGAAATCTTGAAGTGGAAACTTTATATCCAGCAAAATGCAATAAGAAAATTCAAAAAGTTGGTAAGTAAAACTCAATGTTGCTTTTGTATACAAAGATAAGATGGAACTTCTATTGCAAGATGAATTTCGAAAAAACTAACAGAATAATGCAAAGACTTCCCATACATTTGCACTTGCAGTTTAACAAATTTGACCGACTCGGCAATGACCAACTCTTTCTGGATAGACACAGGTGAACATATGCTGGTCAAGAACTTTTGGCTAGATAAAAATTACAACCAAATTGCTCAGCCATCAACATATATCAACTAAATCTCGTGAAGCATCATTGGAAGGCATCGAGATAACTCGTAAGAAGCATACATCTAACAACTAGTAAGCGCAACCAAAACAATATTCCACCCGAGAAAACTAGAAAATGAGTAACATCATTAATCACAATCAACAATTTTACGCGCTGCACATGCACTTAAAGAGCTTCAAGTACACAAAGATTAACATACGACAAACACAAATAGATATTTACTAACGTAAAGCACACTCGCGGAAAATAACATAAGATGTTCTTGTACCCGTGTCGTAGCCAAAGAGTAGTCCGCCTATCCCGGCAGTCACAGTCAATCCAAGCACGTACAGATTACTGAAATACGACATTTTCCGCTCTGGATACAAGTTCAAGTACCCAGAGCTACCCGGCATAGACCCGATCGTCATTTCGCCGCAACTCCTCTCCCTCTCTCTCTAATCAAGAACGGACAATCTCCGCGACAAAACCCCTCGGAACGGCCCGATGCTCCCGGCGACAACAAAAAAAACGAGCCACCCAACGGAGCCGAGCTCGGGACGACGATAATTACACTAGAAAAAATTCCACGGAACTCTCCACAACAACCACGGGATGCGCTCCAATCCAAGCCCAATCAAAGTGCTTGGAAAATCGCCAAATTCACTCGACCCAGAACGCAAGACTGGGAATTTCTCTCTCGGGAAGAAGCATGCGAGAGAGACAACACCGGGAAGAGGACGAGGATTCGAGATTTGCTTCGATCAGTTGATGAGAATCCAACCAAATCAGCCTTTATTTGAAAGCAAACAGCGACGGAGACAACCAGCTAAATGCAGGATCACCACAATCTGGACGAGGGGCGGAGTTTTCTCTCTCCTCAGAAATAGCAAAAAGAAAAGCGCTCAGCCCCCCCGAAAATCGCTGCCGATGCGAGAGGGAGAAGAGGAGCCAGCCGACGGCGGCGGCGGCGGCGGCGGCGGCGTTGAAATTTGGAATTGCTCCGATGGAAAATGCGAGCCGAGACAGAGACGGGTACCAGAAAGGGGGAGGCGAGAAAATTTGATTGGGCGCAGGCAAAAGGTGTCTCCTTTTTTTCCCGAGAAAATCCGCGAGGGGGTCAAAGGTGGTAGTTGGAAGGAAAGGGAGTTATAACGGAAGTTCTGCAGCCCGGGGGGCAATTCTGTCCACGCGATTTTTCTCGGGAAAATTATGGTCGTTTACGGATCCCGCTCGATGGCGCGCGGACCGATCAGCCCAGTGCCAACCGGCTGACCGGGTGACAGCGGGAGTTGAAGGTATGGAAATCCCTTGTAAGGTTTGGTAAAATCACGTGAATGCAAATCGTACGTAAGGTTTGGTGAGTAAGGGCGATCGGTTCTTAGATGGATCGGAACCCGGTTCTAGGCCGATTCTGAATCTAGAATTTGAAATCTAACTTGTGACCCCAATTTTCAGGGAGCCGAACTCGACGTTGGCTCTACTTGGGAATCGACTCATTTAATATTTTGGCTTGTGTTCTTATAATATAATATAAAAGAGTCATCATTTCACTATAAAAAAATTTGATTTTTTCACGATTCATTTATTCAATTCGTAATTCCAACCCGATTTAGAGCCGATTCAACGCGAAAACAAGACTAGCTGAAGCGGTTCCCGGGTCGAGCCAGCAATTCTGGCTTTGGAATCGAGTATTGAATTGATCAAACACAAGGAAAAAAATCGATTACGGGTTAACTCGGATCGATTCGATCCGGTCCTTGAGTGGAATTGGACCCGACGCCCGGCCCTAGTTTTTGTATTTTTTGCTGTTTTTTTTGGTTGGAGGTTGGTTTGAGTCCCAATACAAGATCGGATAAGTGGGGTCCAAGATGAAACATGGGAAACGTGGGGAATTAGGACAAGATACTGTAAGCACCACTCGCGCGTGTACGTGACCCAACAGTACCCGCCCCCCCCGCGCCGCCCGCCCGCGCCGGCGTCCGCTCCTCTCGGCGCCGACTCGCCGGGGGGCAGCACGTGCAGCTCACGCGCCTCGAGAGTGAGGGACACGTGGGAAAAGGAAGCGGCGCGCTCGCGGCGCGTGAAGGGACGCGCGCCTTGACAACTGTCCGCTCCGCTTCTGAATCCCACCTCGGTTCACCCTGCGTTTCCGGACAAGAACGCGTGGACCGGTGGGGCCCACCCCGATAAAAATCCAAAAATACAGAGATAGATGCTAAAATATAATAAAAATGTCGGAAAATAATGGGAAATTCTACGGGGTGACGTGGCGCATGTGGGGGGCCCACCGTTTTTTTGTTAGGACGGGGTACCGGTCGTCGTTGCTGTCGTCCGGATTTTAGATTTCGGCGAAATCTAAAAACCCTAGATTTTCTTTTCCAGACTAGAGCGACTTTGGCTTTCTCTTCCTGCCTCGTCACCGACTCACTTTGGCTTTCTCTTTCTCATTCTACCAAGCCCCTAATTTTCATGATCGGATCCGTGCTCTTTATCAAAGATAACAGAGCGGGTTGCCATCGCAGAGCTCTGGCTTGGCTGGCGTGGCGAATTGTCCCTCTCCCACGTCTCTGCAGCTATCGCCATAGCGGTCCTGCCAGGTGAGCTCTCCTCCTCGCTCAGTCATTCCTTCTCCATAAACAATCACCGGTGAAAACGCTGGGGGTTATGATGTGATCTCGCTGCTTTTTTTTTTCTGGTTGCGCACCAACTGTTTGTGGTAATGTCTCTGTGTGAATTGGGGCGGTTGCTCTCTCTGTAGTGTTGATCTTTTGGCCCTTGCCCAAAGAACTCGTTGTCCTCTTCCTTAATTACTGCTTCAACGCGTACAAGTTTATGATTATGACTGAAATCACGGATTTGCATTTGTGATGCGGGTAATTTTTAAGAAGTGATGGTAATTTGTGAAAAGTGTCAGTAAACAAAAATAAAATAAAATAGTGCGTTCCATATACATTGAATATGGAACTTCCCTATTGCATTCAAACTTTCCGTTGCTTTTATAGTCTCTACTCGCGGGCTACTCCACACTACTAAGTAAACTCAAGTTATATTGGAGTTCCTTTGACCGCTAGGATATAAATTGTTGAATAGCTTTGGTTGGAAGTTTGTTTTGTTGTAAAAGCTCCTGCAGTTCAACCACTTCTCAGAATAATTGTTACTTCTACCCATTCAATGACTATTTGCGATGGAGTGAATATGAGCTGAAACTTGCTCCCTCCACCCCCCAAAACCCCAAAAAAAAAAAAAGAAACAAAAAAAAGTCATAGCCAGAATGTTACTTGACAAGTTGCAACTCCATTTGGTTACTAGGTATGGACGTTGCACATTTCTACCTTGACGGAAACACTGATGCAGTTGAATTTTGTCCATACGATTCTTACAACCATGTTCTAGCAGCTTCGACTTACACGCTGCAAGAAGGCGATAATCCTTCTCGATCTGGCAGCATAGTACTCTTCAATGTCAATGCTAGTTCAGGCCAACTTGATTTGTTACATTGTCTGGAATCCACTGGTATTTTTGATATCAAATGGAGCCCTGTTGAAGCTAATATAGGACGTCCCTTGTTGGCACAAGCTGACTCGGATGGTTATGTCAAAGTTCATGGCTTGGAGAGTTCTTCGGATGGACTGGAAGATAAGGGTACCCACTTTCTTGCCTTCGTTTCGCTTTATCTGTGGTATTGTAATAGAAGTGTTCTTTACTGATATAATAATTGGCATACTCTGACCAAAAAAAAAAAAAAAACGGGCATACAATTTTTTGGCAACATTCATGTACTCATCCTTAGCCCAGCGAAGGAGAATTAGTGCGATAACATTTGAATGTGTGTCATTGTCCTGCCAAAGTAAATACTCTTCTAGACAATGATATCGAGGATTGTTAAAAGTTAGTACAGTTGAACTTCTCTTTTGCAAGTGATAGGTTTGTTGGTACAAGTTCACAGTGTCTTTGATGTTTGGATGGTCCTACTGTATTAATTACTTGAGATGGACCTGACGTGCAGGTCTTGTGTTGAGAGAGGGCACCAGTGAAAAAATCAGTTCTTCTATGTGCCTATGCCTGGATTGGAATCCTTCAGCTACATCGATAGTAGTGGGGCTTTCTGATGGCTCTGTCTCACTATTATCTCGCTCCGAGACTGAACTTGAAATCGAGCAAGAATGGAAAGCACATGATTTTGAGTTGTGGGCAGCTTCCTTCGATACCCACCAACCCCACTTGATATACACGGGCTCCGATGACTGCAAATTCAGTTGTTGGGATGTCCGCGACTGTCCCTCAAAATCAGTGTTCCGAAATTCCAAGGAACATAAAATGGGTGTTTGCTGCATCACGAAGAGCATAACCGATCCTAATGTCGTCCTTACTGGAAGCTACGATGAACGCATTAGAGTTTGGGATATAAGATCAATCTCAAAACCTGCAGATCAGAGTTCAATCTGCTTGGGGGGAGGAGTTTGGAGAATCAAGCAACATCCTCATATACCCGGTTTAGTCCTGGCAGCTTGTATGCACAATGGATTTGCACTCGTTGATCTCAGGGGCGAGGAGATTAAAATTGTAGAGACATACAATAGGCATGGCTCACTTGCATATGGTGCAGATTGGCAAAAAGGTGGGTCAAAAGAGGGCAAAAGAGAGAACATGGTGATTGCTACTTGTTCCTTTTATGATAGACTTGTCCGGATATGGACACCACAGCGTAACATATTCGCAGACCCCATACATTCTTGAGAATTTGTGATGACCCAGATACGTAATTATAGGGTTTTTTTGCATCCTAATCTATTGTGGGAATGCTTTGATATTAATTTTGGAAGTCATTGCTGGACAAACTTAAAAGTTAGCAATGATGCTTGTCTTCGGCCTTAATATGTCTTTCGCTTTATGTTTCCGCCTTTCTATCGTTTAACTTTCTATGCTTCAGCCCTTAAAAGAAATGCTCCCTCGAGTACTTATATGAGGTGGATGCTATTTCTGTTTTCGTTTGAGTGTTAGTAAGGTGTAAGTTTACTAATTCAACGAAGAGGTTAATATTAGATCAACCAGATCTATCATGGTGGCACCATGATGGAAAACCAAAAATTACGTTGACCTTTATTGAAATGTATGCTTTCTGCTTTGTAATTCTTAATCCTTCAATTGGAATGGTCATGTTTTTGAGGTGATTATCTTAGTTTCTTAAATTTTTAAAGCTTGTTTGTGTCATTTTAAAATTTTAAGTAACTTCTTTTAGAAATCGTACTATAGCTTAATTCGTTTCGTGTCGCATCGACACCATGAGTCAACAACCATCAGATCTCGAAATTAAAATCTTTAAGTATAATTGGGGCTAAATTAGCATCGATACATTCTAAAGACGGAGCCAAGCTGAAAAGTCAAATAAGATCTAAATTTAGGGGCAAATCACCTTTGGAATCATCCAACCTTCCAATCTTCCCCTCTAATCAAATAATGTCTCATTCTATGTACATTGCTTATTTCTTGCGATCAATCTATTAATCCATGGGACCGGCCTGACGAATGCACAATTTCAACTTAATTGAGCAGGCTTGGAATTTTTCTAGTTTGGCGTTTCATTTGACCTCTTCAAGGTTGAAATTTCATATTTCTTGCGTGCCTCAACGTAGTGTTGACTCTACATTTCCTCTAATTTAAGATGCTATATTTGGTTTGGTAGTTGGGGTAGTCGGTTCCTTCAACTCTGATTTGTTCGGCCCAAATAACTGAAATTACCTTCATTTAATCGCATTCTTCCTAATTTCATTTCTTGTTTTCTTCTTTTTCGGCTTCTGTTCACTCTTTTATTGCTTAAGTGACTAGTATTCTGGTAACATTCAGTTCTCTGTGTTGTCCCTTGTTTTGGTCTGTTTGTTTTGGTCCCCCGTTCAATATATTTGTCTGACCTCTCTTTTGTGAGTGCCGGTCATGCATCTTTCTCTTCAACTTCTTTATTTGTAAGATGTCCCGATCAACCGGCTAATTCAATGCGACAGTCGGAATTGCTGGAGCTCAATTCGACGTGATTCAAGCGAAGGGAACAGCTCATGGGCAATAATGAATCGAGTTTCACAAATGCCCGCGAAGACGATGGTGATTGGTTCAAGCCGAGGAGCAGATAAGTATCCTGCACTGGGTTCGATCTGTACCACCAGAGAATCGAGTATGTTATGTGCTGAAAAGAATGATCAAGTTCCTGGAACCGGACAGTACGGCACGGGTTCATCGAAGGTAGAAAATGACGATCTCAGTAGGGAAACTCATTTCGTTTTCGATGATTGCAAGTGCATGTGGTTGTCTTCAGATTGTTCGTCACCTCGTTCGATCTTAGTAGATGAGTACGGCTTGTCAGGATCCTGCGCACTTGTTGATAAATGGTTTAGCTCTTGGTTATCAAGAGTTCATTTGAGCAATGAAGGTGCATCTCTGGCTTTTGCAAGCACCCCCCTGGATTTAGATTTCATTCACGTGGATGATTTGAACGATGATGCAGATGCAGAAAATTGGCTGATCACTTCAACTGAGATGTCCCGGTCTCCTTGTAAGATTTTGGGAAATGAATCCACAGGTCGCGAATGTTTGTCGAGTCGATCTGGCTCCATAAACAACCTTGATTCGCCATCTTTTCCAAGTTCAGATGAGGACACACTCAGTTATATGGTCTCTTTGGTGAATCTTGATGAGGAAGATTCAAAGTTATTTTGCGATGTGGATGCCGATTTGGAGATTTTTCAGTCAGATTTCCCAAGCCCATCTTGTCGGCGCAGTAATAGTCCTGGAGCAACATTGTCAATCTCTATCGGATCGTCTTTCCTGGAAGTGACACAAGGGAGTTCACTTAGCGATCTCTCTTCAGAAGATTTTTCTGCAATTGCAGATTATGAGAATCCTAACAATGAGCCATTTTTCTGGCCGTTCGAGAGGAAATTCGATTGGGATTCCGATGAAACAGTGCGATTCCTGAGTATGTCACCTCGGAAGTTTATCGTGGATCAAAAAAATCCCAAGGGGACATCTTGCAAACCTTCTGTATCGAATTTCCTGGGTAGGAAAGCGAGCCTGAAAGAGGGGTCTAAGACAAGGATCGATCAGTTCAGCACAAGATCAGGAAGTGGCAAGAGATTAGAGCTTATTAATCCGGGAAACATTAAAGCGCGTCGCAAGGTCGGTGACATGGAGCCGTCGAGATTGAGCGCCACGACTTGGAGAATCTCCGCTAAAACTGCACCTTTGTGAATTGAAAAACTGCATCCTGGATGCAAAGGAATTCCCAATGCTTCTCCTACCAAGAATTCATTCCATGAAGGACCCTGAATTTCTGGGGAGATCAGGAGACAGGCATTTCAATTTCCCATCAGTGGATGATGAATTGCTTGCAAACGGAGCAACTATTGGGCCTTGTTGCATTGGCTAGCTCGGGCCTTACCTCAGAACGCTTGAGCCTAGCTGGTTTGGATGTGTGACGAGGACTTGCTTAGACGAGGATTGAATCTTCTCGCCTGCACAGTTTTGGTTACGTGAATTCTGAGTGTTGTGATATTGATACCGACTGATGAAATGCATGTTTAGCTTTTGTTTTGTACTAACCTAATTTTACAAGACGCAAAAGGGATTGAAAGACACAAAAGAGGCTCGAAATATAAGGTCATCGGCAAGCTTAAATGTAATGGATCAAGGAGGTTGGACCAAAGTGCAATCCCAGTTGCAGATCTGACTTTGCAACTTGGATAGAAAGGTATATTGGTTATTGCTTCAATGAACTGAGGGAAAATAATCAATAAATGTGTAGCATTTATCGACCTCAAAGAGTTGCGGTACCGAAAAGACATAACGAGCTGCTAGTCTAGTAATATCTACACGAGCAACCGGACACTTGGACTAAATCTCCAAGACTTCGCATGTATACTTTACTAGTTAATGACTTCTTACTTAGTGCCATTTAATAATTCTAGGTGCCCAAATAAACTTTTTCTTCGATTACTTGAATTTAGAATATTTTGAAGATTCTAAGTGACCAATTTATATCTTTCGGACTAGGGATTTAGATGGGTAAAAGATATTAGTTTCTTTTTCTTTTTGGTTTTAGATTAGTGAAACATTCATTACAAGCACATAATAAGCACACGCATAATAACACTTCTAATATGCACATCCAGCAAATTCAAGTGGCTAACTTACTCGGCTAATAATGCATCTAGCAATATCGACTAGGGAATTTCATTAGCTAACTGTGTCCCCACCGAGGGTGTAAAGACTTTAATGCGCGAGTACTTTCCGAGCGACATTTAATCTTCGCTTCTTTAAATAATGTCAGCGTTTTATTCCTCTAATGAAAGCAATAACATAAGCAAAGCCATATAACATCATTTCTTAATTATGATAAAACTTCTCGTAATGCAAGGACCGTTAGAGACAGAATTAAGATTTTGATTTCACAAAAAAAGGAAATTAACATTTTGAAAGTTTAAGAATCTAATGGAGAATCCTACGTGAAAAAAATGGAGAAAAGCAGTTGTAAACAATTAAGAAATCATGTGATGATATGAAATGTCCGGCAAAACAAAGACAATTTCATAAGAAATTTCATCACATTGTCTATAGTTACAGTGATTATGAATTACTTAATGTGGATATATATTTGCTTAGACAAGATGGAGCATGAAAACTAGAGATTGTTGGTACACCTACCCTTGATTTTTGTTTTTTCGGTCCCTTGACATTCAACCACGTGGAAAGTGAAATAGCGAAAGTGGTACGACCTTTATTGTGCATGTGGAACACGTGAACACAGATTACATGAAGTAATAAGAGTTGATATTACGAAATACCACAAATTGATATATTTGTAATAAATTTATCTTAAATTAATTTTTTTATCACGAAAATCTTCAAACTAATATATATGTAACAAATTTACTCGAAATTAATATTTTGACCACAAAAAACCCTAATTAGTACACCTGCGACAAATTTACCTAAAACTAATTTTTTAACAACAAAAAATCCAAAACTGGTACACTTGTGATAAATTTATCATCTGTTAAATTGGATTAATATCATAAAAAATCACAAACTAGTAAATTTGTGACGAATAGATGGGTAAAACCCCAAACTGGTATATCTGTTAACTTCCGCGTGTCATTAAACTCAACAAACTTGAAATGGTTGATTTTAGAACATCTTTTTGTCTTGCTAGAAAGATTTCTCCGGCTGTCCACACTCATTGCAACGTATTTCCTGATTTTAGACCTATCTTTTAAAGAGAAATCTAAGCATGGAGGAAAATTTTGATTTATTTCAATTTCCAAGTTTCAGATCAAATGATCTTTGTACGCAATAAATTGAGGTTTTGAAATTAAAAAAAGAAAACTCTGTTACGTGCTTCGAGTTGGTCCTCGCATTTTGAATTTTATATTTCATCCTTCAACAACTTTTAATGCGGAAGTATGTTTATATGTTCGATTTATAAGCGTCTCCTTTCCAGCAGTAAGGTCATGAGACGTTCGATCTTTCTTCAACTTAAATTATGTCATCATTTTATTCCTCCATCAAAAGCAATTAAATAAACAAAACCACATAAGATCTGTCACGCCCCGAACCCCTCGAAGCGCGATCAACCCACGTACCGGTCGATTTTGATGCGACGTCTCAGGACGCGTCGCTGACCCAACTCCCAAAACAGAGCATAAGGCACATGCGAAAGCAATAATTACAACACCCGTACAAAACAATACATGACCAAGGGTAGCAGGAACGACGAACAATTAAAAGCCTAATAATCAAGACTTGCATTGAACTTCAAAACATATACAATGTCCACGATACACCAATACAAATCTCCAAACAAAAGCGGGTCGATGGACACTACTAACAAAATGACTAAGTGGCCAAGGGGGCAGTCTAAGGTGGGGCTACAATCAAAGGGTTACTGACCTGACCTAGGGGAGGCTAAGACTGATCCTAAGAAACTTAATCGGGATCAGATCCTGATGACTCGGACTCAGCCTCGATTATCTCATCTTCCGAATCCATCTGCTCGACCTCGCCAACCTGTTCGGGATCCTGCTCTATGGGCTCCGGATCCTTATATTGATCGGGTACACCAGGTATCCTTTAACAGGGGTCTGAAAAACGGGGTTTAAACAACCATGAGACGAATCTCAGTGAGTAGGCCTTCTAAACCGAAACTAGGCTAGCATGCACCTCCCGACAAGCAATCAACACAACAACCGACAATGATGTCAATCAAATGACCTAGGCCCTTGAGCCCGGATCGCTTACCTTGCTGACCCTGCAGGTTAAATAGTTCGATATAATAATCACGGCACATACGTGGCACACATTTTCACACGTACGCCATACGCATGCTCATACTCAAAGTGTTCATCTCGCATGCCATTCATCGAGTCTTGCATACTCGCACACTGGCCCATGCATTCTTATGCATGCAAATGTCACCATCATGCCATGTTTCATTCTGGCTCACACTGCACACTGGCTCATGCTCCATTATTATTATTCATTACGACTCGAGTCATCACAATTCCCGGCCCGGTGCGTCTAGCCTGCTACAAAGTGCATGAGGCGCAACACCGATCTGGTACAGTGTCTCTAGCCTGCTACAAAGTGCATGAGGCGCAACACTGATCTCCCCACGAACCAGAGCCCGCGTAAACGCATCAGGATGGTCGTCTTCCGGACGTACCGGGCATCGTCCTGCTTCAAAGTGCATGAGGACGGCACACCCCGCGTAACACGCATCAGGGCAAAATGTGATCACACATACACACAGCCAGTTATTATCTGAGCCCCGCGTAACACGCATCAGGGCAATTAGGTGATCACATGCTCATATCAGGCACGCATTCTCGCACACTCTCATCTCATGCCCCATTCTCGGCATACACAATGCGTGACCATGCAATGTCGTACAATGCAACATGAGCATTCAATTTCAGCACGGCATTTCAACAAACATGCCAAATCAACGTGCTCAAATAGCCAATCAATTGCCCATACTTATTCGCATAACATGCGCACTTGGCCAACTAGTACCATGTGGCCCAAAACATAATTCACGCACTTGGGCAATAAACATTCGCACCAATGATTGGCCAATCACACACCGCATTGCTCGAACACGAAATCAGGCGGCATGGTATTAAACAATTGAGCACGACAAAGTACCATTCAACCACCGAGTCGCTCAAACGAGGCACCACAAAATTTAACACAATCAAGCACAATTTGTACCCAAATCAGCCACTACATGGCCCAACCATTCACATATGGCAATTCACGAACAAACCATACATTAGCCGTACAAGGCCCAATTAAACCTCAATGGACAGCCACTAATCAGTCCGAGAGAGAGAAAAACCGGGAATATACAAAATCGGGTCCAAACTGGGCTGTTGCACAGTGACCGAAATCCATTTGAAATAAATGGTAAGTCAATTTCAAAAATTATGAAATTTGTATATGTTGTACAAAACATCTCAATGAACATTTTCCATGAATAACTCGAAACTCAGTTCTAACCGTAAACATCTCGTTTTGACACTCCAAGTCGGAAAAAATCCGATTCGCTCGGACAGCCCCTCAGGCCATCAAAATGCGACTCATTCAGTACCCAAATTACTTTGGAAAATCTTGAAATTTTTATATATTATAGCCACAAATGTCCCCAACAATTTTTGTGAAGGAAGTATTTTGAAAATAGGCCTGGAAAAATTTATAAAAATTCGAACAGACCCGAAGGTCGGGTGAACAGTAAATCGGGCAGACCCATTTCGGTCCAAAGATGGACTTCCGAATGGCCTCAAATGATTTCCAAAAATTCCCAAATTAAAGTATGTTATACTTAAAGATGTTGGGAGCAACTTTCATGAAGAAAAATTCCTCAAATTCGGCCCCCAAAATTCTCCACAAAAATAGCAAACCGGATGGGTACAGTAAAGTCAGTAATCGGAGAATCAGTAACTTGCACCATTAAGCAAATTCAACTCATACAACCTCTAAACCAAGTCTCCACAGTCTTAAAACCATCCCTAAACCATTACCTTAGGCCCTTAAAATCACCACAACATCAGCCCAAATCAGCCCCCACTAATTAACCCCTAAAACTTATCCAAAGTGCACCTAATCCTAATTAAGGGTTAGGATTTTCCATCACCTATTTACACTCCCCAAAATTCTAATCGACCGGAACGGGCGGCCGATTGCCGGTAAACGGCGAAATCGGCGGCGGCGTTCCGGCGGCTCACGGCAGAGGTTCTGGTAGGTGAGGGTGGTGGCGGCGAACGGCGCTCCGACGAGCGACTCCTCCGGCGGGGGCCTCTCACGGCCAAACAAAGAGAAAACAAAAAGAAAGAGAGGAAGTGGCGTGGGAGGGGGAAGATGATCGGCTGAAGGGGGAGGAAATGGGAGGAGAGAGAGAGTCAAAGGGGTCTTATGGGTCAAAAAGTGGCGCCACGTGTCGCAATCCGGTGCGTTGGACCATTTTGCCCTTTGATCTAATGGCCATTAATCACTCTCATCCAATAATTGAGGGGCCTTTTGGTCAATCAATAATTCTGAATTTTGACTCATAATTATCCACAATAATTTCCCAAAAATTGCCAA